CAGACTCTAGAATGATAGACAAAAGAGCACTGGGAGCAAGGTTCATATCGCTGATGAGTGAACCATTGCCTTGAGCAGCTCGGCTAGAAGAGCTCTCAACTTTGCCAGAAACCAGTAGAGCGAATGCCTCCTCGGTTGACTTTAAAGTGAGAGGACCCCGTAAAGACGGAGCCAAAGACTCCAGCATCCCAGCCACCTCTTTAATCGAGAATGTAGGCTTCTTAAGCCCAGATTTAGGGGAACCCCCCATGTGTGTCTTGGAGGCAGAAGAAACTTCGAAACAGAAGGAGCCTCCTTAATAAGAAGCAGTAGAGGAGAAGCTGTCTTCTGAAGAGAGGAGGTCATTGAAGAAGGTGGAGGCACTCCAACCTAATAAGTCTTAGATGGAGGACCCAAGTCGCCTCTGGACCCGACCTCAACCCTATGTTTCCCTGCCGCCATGTTTTTCCTCATTTGGTCCAACTTGGCCTTCATTGCTTTGGCATCTAGAGCCATTGAACTCGAACTTGGAAGAGGAAGTCAACTGGTTAAGCAGACTAACTAGAAAAAGGGTAACACTAGGGATAAAGGAAGAAAGACTTACCAACAGAATCTTCCACACCAACCACAGATATTGGGATGAGAGTCTCAACTATCACTTCGGGAGGACTAAACCCAAATTGAGTGAGCACTGCAGGCTTGAGAAGCTCTGAGTACTTCTCTGGCTGACAATCCTCCAAGCCCAGCAAGACTATCATATCCTCTGCGCTAAGGTCAGGACAGATACCTTAAAATGATAAAGGGAAACAAGGTCAGCGAGGGAAATACCAAACCAAGGAAAGAAGTCAAACCAGGCCACCTCAGTAGGAACTTACCCAAATGGTTAGGGGCTGACCAAACCTGAGGTACAAGGAGAGTATTAGTGGCATCCCTCGGGTAAAATTCTCATGCCTTCCCAAACATGAAGAATAAGAGCTTCTTCCAGCCCTTTTGGGAACTTGAGAGGTTGGAGATCAGAATTTGGGCTTTCACCCGTTTGGCAATATAAAAGAAGCCATAAGAGGGAGAGAACTTGACGTTAAAAATTTTTATAAACAAAGGTATCACAGGGACATCGAGCTCATTCTTCTTAAAGAACACCAAAACACACCAAAAGTTGGGAGAAATTTGAGCTGAATAACATGGAGGTGGTGGAGAACAGACTTGAGAAAAGAATCCAAAGAAAACCTAAGGCCATTCTTGAAGGAAGTAGCAAAGAAGCATACCTTCTCGGGCACTAAGGTATTATACCTGATGTCTACATGAGGAGACCAATACTACATGCCTTTAGGGAAACCAAACCTGGCAGAAAGGACGCCTAGATAGGGAAGGGTGACCACGTTGAACCCTACAAGCTCTGAAGCCTGAGGCACGAACTCAACACCACCAGAAGTCCCAACCCCACCTTTCTTAGACTTCCTTTTTTCGAGTTTTCTTCGACCTCTAAGCTAAATTTAACAATACCTAAAGGACCTCCACCTTAGCAACCTGGGCTTTAAGAGCCTTGACATCGAAAAAAGTATCTATCTCGTCGCCTATATCCTACAGGTCGTCCTCCTCGTGTTCAGGAGATTTGTCACCCATGGCTAGAGAGACAGATGATGCAGTGGCTTCGGACGAAGCAGACATGAAGGTATAAGAGAAAGAAAGATTAAAGGAGGCGTAATGAGGAGGGACATTGGTAAAATAGTCTTCGAGATCCCTGGGATCAAGACTCCAATAACCAAAAATGAAGACTCTAATAGTAGAATAAGGATCCAAGAAGAGGAGAAGAGAAGACAAAGAGCTACCTTGACCCTAACATGGCAAAAACGGAAGGTCAAAAAATGGAGTAACCACCCAGGACTAGCAGGATCCAAGATAAGCTAAGAATCTTAGAAAGAAGAGAAGGAAGGAAACAAAGCAAAGGATGTACCTAATCGAAGGTGATCAACAATCGAAGACCCGAGGTGGGTTCAAGGAACAAGCTAAGTTAGCTTCACAGATACTTCAGAGCAAATCTAGGTCCTTACCAGTGAAACCCTAGAGCACTAGTAGATTGGGGAAGACCAAATCGTAGAGAAAAAGAAAAGAAGGAAATCTAAAGGAAGACAAAGGAAATTCGAAATGAAAATAAGGGAAAAATCGACTTCGCCTACAAATTTAGTTAAGGTAGGTGTGCGAACGGACACATGGAGCCAAGGGGAGAAGGATATGCACGAGAAACGAGGAAATTAATTCATTGCACGTTTGCAATGCCATAAAATCTGAGAAACGTCCCATCGTGCGAGTTTTGAGGGAGAACCAAGCTAACCTCGCTCACTAAGGTCTAAGGTCGACCCCAACTCATGTAACTTACTTGACTGGGGACTGGGGGGCAGCTGATGATACCCAAAATATGTCTAAGGTTGAGCTCGAGTATTCAGCTCGGACCTTCCAAGCTCAGGCCACTCAGCTCATCACAGAAGATTAGGGAATTTGAGGTCAGTGCCTCCTCCCCAATAATTGTACCTCCACAAGAATAGCACAGAAGACAGCTGCTGGCTTCCACCCAATCACCACTCATAACGTAACAGTCTTATATTTGGGCAAAGAAGTTTACCCGTCACAATGATGTCTATGGAAACTGCATAAAAGGCGCAACTGTTATGAGAAGAAGGCTAGGATCACGCCTAGGATCATGCAAGGCCACTGAAGACTATAGATAAGAGGCATATCCCTCACAACAGGACACAAGCACCAATCATAAGCAAATATCCTATGTAATCTTTCCCTTCACTTAATAAAATCATCCCAGGAGCAAAAGATTAAATTCAGAGTGGATTAGCCGAACTTCTAAGCTGGTGAGCCACTATAAACATTTTGTGTGTCTTTCCCTATCCCCCTCGTTCAAATCTTGAGAGCCTAGAAGCTCTGACTGAGTCATTTTGTGACCACTAATCCTTCAACACCGTAAGCTCTGCTCAATTGCATTACGTACTCCATCAGTAACCTTATCCCACAATTCTCTCTACCAAACTCAGTAAGTAGCGTGAGTCTGCCCATATCATCCTACTGAGAGGTAGTTAGCCACAAATGAGGTAGTTTCCTCTTAACTAAAAGGAAACTCTCCCGATCCCCACTACTTTATCTTTATTCTATATCTTTCTCTCTCTAATATTCTTCATTTGGTTTAGGTTTGATTGCAAATTGATTGGATTTTTTTACACGACAAGAAATTGAATTGAACGGGAGATGATAAAATGGGATGATAATAAAATTCTGACCATCGCACTAGATTGTCACTATTAATAATATAATTCTAACCCATTGCACATGGTTATCGCTAGTAACAATATAATTCTGACATGATAAGTCATTCACTTGTATAGTTAGAAAAAAATATAAATATCGACCATTACTTAATCTACCTTTTGAAGATTTTTTTGACGTTCATTGTCTTATTAAAATGTGCTTGCTATTATCTTGAATCAATGTTATAATTGAATCCAAGTCAGATTTCTCAATGCCATTTTTATATTCAAATCGATTTCCACAATGGGTTATCTTATATCCATCCCAATCTTCTTCTATATGCCAATTAGAATCTTCGCTTGTATAAGTCTCTGTAAGTTCTATTCAGATCAGTTCATCCAAATGCTCTTAGAAAATGAGTTGTAATATATTTATCTAATTCTACTTGCGACCCTGATCTACCATTATCCCAACTCCTTTTATGTATCTATCCTTTCCTGTGTAATACAGTTTACAAGTTGTATTTATCTAATTAATTATCTTGCTTTGTCCTTACTCAATTTGTTTCCTATATGCACATTATTGACTTCTCTCCAATCATGATTTCACCCAAAGCTGTTATGTTACTTAGAAGTAGTTCTCTTATGTTCTAAGTTATTAACCAAAATCTAGTATTCTAAGCTATCTTCCTCGAGTCTGTCTGAACAAAAATAACACGAAAACACTCGCACATTTTTCAGCACGTCCAAGCAACTAAAATACAGCACACTTGCCTGTTTTTCAATATACTAGATAGAGTACAGGTGCAACATCACTCGACGTTTTTTATTCTGATTTATATTGATAATTTTGTCGTTCAACTTGGGGAATGTACAATTTATTCACAATGCAAAACTGCTCCCTTTTATTTTAGACGAAGCTAACTTAAATTAAATATTCTTACCTTCAATAAAGAAAAAGGTGACTTGAACATCGTAATAACTTTCAGCTATTTTTGGTTGTAAGGCACATTATGCTTTTGATATTCTTAAATTTTACTCTGTCGATTAGATGTTTAATAATGTCACTTGTACACAGTGTGCAGACCCAAGTTGGGAATTTTCAATAATGCTACTTGATTTTCTATTTGATTTCTCTTGGATTTTTGCATTTAAGTCCAGATCATCATTCAACTGTCCCTGAAGGGGGAAAAAAACAAATAAATCGGCCGGCATGTTTGAAATCTAGAGCCACGAGAAAACAGAATCGCAATTGTTGACTCAACCATATAGAACTCTGCAACATAACTCCAAAAATATATAATCAAAGATTCAGCAAGTTCATTAAATCAGACTCGCAATTGCAGCCGACTAGCATTGTTTTGTGTCCACATCCCACGTTAAAATTGAGAAGAAAATAACAGGAAGATAACAAAGAAGAGCATATCAATCACGATATGAATTACAAGAGCAGATTTATAATTATGGTGGAGATAAGGACATACATAAAGAACATCTAGGGAGACTAGATTTCATTAATAAGTCAATCAATCAGAAGAACATTAAACAATGTACCTTTCTCTTTTCTTTTTTTAACAAGGGAAGAGCAACAAATACGCAAAGGAAAATAAAACTTGCACCACAAAAACGGAAGGATCTTCATTGTCTGAATGCAAAAGGTATAATGCCCATACCAATGACAGAACAGCAATTTTTAAATGATATAAACTGTGAAAAAATCATGAATGTGGGTCTGAGTGGGCTGGATACGCCAAAAATACCACCACATTATCAAGCCGGAGCTAGCCTCTTGACCACTGCAGCCATATAATTGCCCTGATGCTCTGCAAGGGCCAGCTCCATTTCTGTCGGTTCTCTTGTGCCATCACCAGCAAAGACTCCAGCACCATATGGAGATCCCCCCCGAATTGAGTCCATTTCAAACATACCGGCTCCAAACGTGTACCCAATGGGGATAAAGAGCATCCCATGATGAGCTAACTGTGTGATTGCTGTCCAACTGCAACGGAATTTCAAGGGATACAGTGAGATGAGAACTACTGAATTCTTCACAAAAAACAAAAGCATTTAATATCACCATCTTATCAGTCTTAAGTCAATCAAACCATTGTCACAGCACCAATAAAGCAATGAAAATATAAATGAATAGAAATTTTACAGAACTCCATCGAATGATAAGATCATGTTCTTATCATGACAGAAAAAAGGGACTCAAATGTGACGGCTGCAGTTTGTATTGCTGGGGTGGCTTCTACAGTTCCCACATCTAAAACAAGATTTCACTCTTGAATGGAACTCTAATATTACCATAAAAAGAGCTCAGTACTACGAGGTACTACGAGGTCCATAAGGTAATGACCAAACCTAACTATATTCCAAAATACAAGTTCATGAAAGACCAATCTCATATAAACCTATGGATTAGGGTGTATCCACCTCATAATATTAAAAATAAATGGTCAGAGATTAAAAATTCCCAACCAATTGGTAGCCAAAATGTCAAATGATTCTTAACAAGGGTAATTTTAGTCAGAAATATTAAACGTATAACCGAAGGCAGGACTTGAAATATTCAATTTTTTAGAACTCAAACAGAATATCAAACGCTTCTCGTTCCTATCAAAAAAACGCTTCTCATATTCACTGATGTGATTTGCAGTTTGGCACAGTATCAAGTGACTGAAACCACCAAGTATCAAAAAAAGATAAAGACGAGAGTAAGGGAATGGGAGAATCAAAGACATTCCAAAAGCGTTCGAATTGTGGAAGACTGGAACTTACAACATTTCAACCTAGTGTCTGAAAAGCATATTTTTTCCCTTACTTTTTTACAACCACACACAGACGGCATATAAAACAGCAGCCAACTAGAAAAAAAAAAAAACAACGTGAATTTTCCCCAAACCTATCTGACTGTTCTGCTGGCACTGCATCCCTCCAACAACTCCAAATCTAAACCAACATGGACCAGTGCAATAATAAATAATTCACATACTAGTTTGCTCCGACTTATCCAAAGGATATTCTTCTGCTACCATGTCAATGCAGCAAAAATTAGGGTTGATTTCATCTCTTCAACCTATTTGTCACTGCTCAATATGTTCTCTATCAGTATTGTCCAACAGAAAATTTCCACTTCATAGTATACATGTAGTACGCCATAATTTTGTTCCTCAAAAAAGCCCCATCACAAAAATCCTCCTGGCTGCCACTATCATTGCCCTCCCCCGCACATATAATCCCTTCATTTCAAAAGCAAAGATTCTTGCACCATGTCCACCACTGTCACAAAGATATTAAATACTGATATTCATCCAATTCACCTTCTCTTTTTACACCCTATAATCAAAGTTCAGACTTCAGACAATATTCTTGTAATTCCTAATGCAGATCAGTAACATTACCTTTATCGAGAAAGTCAAACATCAAACCATCGTTTGCTCAAAAACAATCATTCATAGTCCTCTACATAAAAAATTGCACATGGATCTCAATCCAATCTTCACTGCATCACATTGGAGGATTTGAAGTGGGCCTACCATCCACTCTTTCTGTTTCTCTCTCCCCTCAATCACCACCTCCTCTCTCTCTCGCGCCACCAAATCTATGGACACCATCACCATCCCCTGCCCCCCCCCCGGCGCAACGCATGCACATGATGTGTTCGTCAAAATACCCAAGAAAAAATAATAGAAATTCCTATTTTGTGGATTTGAAATTCCTATTTAGTAGAAATTCCCATTTCATTTGAAATTTTCCGTGTGTGTCTATTCATATATCGAAGCCTGTTTGCCTTTGGTTTTGTGGATTTGAATGTTATTTTTATCGACTTTTACAACTTGAAGACTTGTGTGTGTTGAACTGTATTACAGAGTCAATCAGGTCAAGACTTGTGTGTTGACCTGTATCGACTTTGGTTTCGTGTCTTAAACGTTGAGCAAAATGAATTACGTAGGCTGAGACCTAAAAGGCAAAACTGGAATGTCAAATAATCTGACCACTCTCTTAGAGATAATTTTTTTAAAATGCTTTTGTGCTTTTTTGCTAGAAGTAGTTCTTTAAGCAACATCTTTATTCAGGCTTATTCCCTTCTTTTAGCAGATGTATATCAGTATATATGTTCAAATATAGAAGTGTATCATTTAATTACTAAGATGCATATAGATCTCTTTTGCAAAATAGAATCAAACATGCTTTTACTTTTTTAATGAAATTGTTTTTTTCTTTGCTTAAAAAAATTAGCTAAAATAAGTATGCAAGAGTAAATCAAACATGCTTCTACCTCGCCTAGCACCCTATGCAGAAGTAACTCTGGGTATAGTACTATAGTTTTCCAAAAAATAAGCAGAAAAGCTCTGGGTACTGTCATTGGTACGAGTCTCTGTCCATTATGTGTTTTGGGTTCTTCTCCTCGAGTATATTTTGGGCTGTGGTAAGGAGTGGGGGTGAATGAGAGGGAGAATTATGACACGTATGGTTCTGATTTTGAATTGTTTTCATTTGCTTTGTAGCTTAAAAAATATCTGATTTTGAAACTAAGTTGATGGTGAAATTGAAGCTTAGTTTCTAGTGATGGTGAAATATCTGAAATTGAAGCTTCTGCCATAAATTGGAAGCTAGCATTTTGTATTCTAAGTACTTTTGTATGTTTTCTAAGACATATGACTGTTATGCAATATTACGAAAGTAAGTTGATGGTGATAAGATTGTTAATTTTGATTTCAGTTTCTTACAAAGAATGGGATATATGACTTCTGAAATTGGTTTGATGATCGGACTTGGTAATTGCTATTATTCTCTCCCATTTGATTTTTCTCTTACGAAATCGACCATACTCCTCTCAGCATAGTATCAAGGTAATCGCTATAAGGTGGCCATTGTCCTCATTTCCACTGAGATTATGCATAGTATTTGTGTAAACACTATAAGGTGGCCATGCAATAAATTGTTACCTTTGATGCCTAAAGCAATTGATAAAATAGTCATGTTTAGGCATGACGATGGTTAATATTATAATGTTTTTTTTGATAATCAGCATGCATATGACATGGTTTGGTTATGATTATAAAATATATAAGTTTTGTAAACAGGTTGATATATTTATAGTATCATATTTTCAAAAGATACTCTGTTGAAAAATTAAAAATTTCTTACATTGATTTCAATTTCTCTCATTACATGGTTTTTGAATTAAGTAATTTTTTAGTGATCCAAAATATAATTCAATACATCTTGCTTGGTTTTTGTTCATTCATTGAGATAGCGATTGATTTATAATTAATTTATGTCATTTTGTTTTGTGATTAAAATAGTTTATGATTGAAAAATTTTATGGGTTTATTTCAATTTTTTAAAAATCTTATATTTTGTTGTCACTTTTACAAGTATGTATATAGTTGTTTGTGTAGGAAGAATTGTGCTATGGTAATTGGTACATAGTTGGATTTCAATATGCATATGACATGATTTGATTATGATTAAGAAATATATAAGTTTTGTAGACATGTTGATATATTTGTGGCATCATATTTTCAGAAGATACTCTGCCGAAAAATTAAAAGTTTCTTACAGAGTATCCACATTTTGACCCTTTTTATTTCACTAAAGGCATGACATTAAAAATGACCAAACAATAACTATATGTATGTTTTATATTCATTGTTTGATTATTTCGTGTTTAAGAACTATGTACAATGCCTTCAGACACGTAATATAGGGCGAGTTTAGACTTTCAGTTTAGTACGTGTTCTAGTTCAATGCTTGATTATTTCACATTCAAATTCAATGTTCAATTTTTTTTAGTTGCACCGTGCATTCAAGCACAGGTTATCCATAGTTACTAATATATCTTGTCTAACTAATATTAATTTCTAATTTATCTTGACTATAGAGACCTGATGTTACATAAATGGGTAGAGCAATGGTCAGTCCAAAAGGCCACAATGTGTAGAACAGTGTGTTAGCATTGTTAATATGTTTCAAAGGACGATTCAATTAAAATTATTTAACTATCTAAATCATGCAATTAATTACCTAGGTCAAGATAGAGTCAATAATCTGCATGCAATAAATAACCTTAACCAAGGTCTAATGGTGTAAAAGAGAGATTGAAAAGAAATAACATAGATGTAGTTATAAATACAGATAATTATTGAAGAATACAAAAGTTCAAGATGATTTGGAAGCAAAAAGTCTAGTAAAGTCTAATTTGTATTTGAAACCAAGGTCTAATGGTGTAAAAGAGAGATTGAAAAGGAATAATATAGGTGTAGTTATAAATACAGATAATTATTGAAGAATACAAAAGTTCAAAAGGATTTGGAAGCAAAAAGTCTAGTAAAGTCTAATCTGTATTCGAATAGGATCCTGAAGGAAAATGATAATTAACAAGCTAGTTAAGTATAAATATTTTAATAAAAGGGTAAGATCAAAAGAGATGTTAGGATGTAACTTTATAATATTGATTAGAATTGACATTTATAAGTAATATCAATATAGATAGAGATTAAAAAAAATTATAAGTAATATAGATATATATAAGGATATCCTTGATTCCTGAGTAATCATTTTGTGGAGCATGAATGTGGAAATAATGTAATTCTCACAGCTTCACTCAAGGAAAAATATTACTAGTGGAAACAATAAATCAGAAACTTTAACATATGCGAGTATAGTAAAACGCTATTAAAAACACAAGATAATTCGAAGAAGAGTATAAAATCTTCAACAATAAATCTCTCGATCCGCGTTAATTGTAGCTTCATCGTCAAAGAAAAAACAGCAACAAATTCACTTGTCAGACAAATCATAACCAACAAATCAACGCCATTTCCACAACAAAAACCCTATAAATAATCAGAATTCAGCAGAAGTGAAGCTTACGCAGTGGTCTCTTGGCCGCCTCCTTGCGTCCCAGTACTGACAAAGAACCCCGCAGGCTTCCCAGCAAGCCTCTGCTCCTTCCACAACTGTCCAGTGGAATCGAAAAACGCCTTCATTTGTGCCGCCATACACCCGTACCTCGTCGGAAACCCAAACAAGAACCCATCGGCCTCCGCCAACTCTGTCGCCGAACCAATCTCCGGAATCTCATCATCCTTGGGTGGGGCCCGCATTTGGCTCAGCACCTCCTCCGGCAAAGTCTCCGGTACTCGGAAAAGTACCGCCTCGACTCCGTCAACGCCGTTCACTCCTTTTTTGATTCTACGAGCTAAACATTCGACATGGCCGTACATTGAATAGAACACAACAAAAATTTTGAGTTTTGTAACGGGATGTGAATCGGCGATGGATAAAACATCGACGGCCGCATTAGTTTCGATGGTCGGAGTGGCGTTGTTTTGGAATGAAATTGGGGCGTCGTCGGCCACGATTTTTGGGAGTTTCTTCTTGCTTGGGACACAACCCCCGCCTTTGCCCATTGAAACCAGCCAATTTAGGGAGGTAATGCGTGTTTAAGATCCCTAGTTCAGAGGTTTCAGTAATGTCAGTGTTCAGAATTAATGGATGTAGAGTTGTTTTTAAGGTTTTGCAGCTTTGGATTCGAAATATTTATGGAAATTCCATCTTTGGATGTGTCGGACCATCTTCAATCCCTACTTTTTCTAAATCTTTTTTTTTACTTTTTTTTAAAGTAAAAATTCTTAAAAATCTTCGCTAATTCTAAACTTATACCCGTGCCATATTTTTAACTTATACACATCATATCCCTATCAAACGAAAGAGAACTTTTTTTTAAAACTCAAATAAAAAAAGACTATTTTTTAAACTTAAATATTTAATGGTGAGATTACACTATCTTTTAAAAATTTAATAGTTATATTTTAATTTTTTTAAATTTAAATTTATCCTCGATTAAACTTGAATTTTGCTTCCTTTAAAAAAGTGTGTTGTTGCAGAAGATTATACCAAATCAAACTTTTTATCTTTTTTCTTAATCAAATTTGGGTAAGAATTTGAGTCTCTATCGAAAATGCTCTCAATCGAACAAATTTGTATTAAGCCAAAGTGTAATCTTACTTCAAGAATTTAATTCTACTTTGATTAGATTTTTGACAATTTTTTGTTTGCATATTAGGTATCACAATCCATTTAAAATCAAATATTCAATTTCATTCGATTAACTTAATTAAAGTGTTTTTATTAAAATTTAATTAGAGTTAATTTATTAAAATTTAATTAGAGTTAATTTTAATAAATTATAACTAAATTGTGTATCAACAGTAAAGAATTACTAAATTATATATAACATTCGTCTACATTTTAGTGAAATTCAAATCAATTTTTTTTAAAAAAAATTCAAATACATGAAGTATAATGGAATTGATTGAGATTCGAATTTGAATAATTGATGACAAGTATCAATTTATATTCGGATCCCCTGAGAGACCTATTTTTGACATGATGACCTTCCCGTGAGGCCCAGCCTATCCTAACCCAACCCAGCCTGTAACCAATCGGAATATGCATGGGTCCATCACTACATTAATGGACTTGATCAGCAGCAAGGAGACAACAAAAATACTTGAGGTTAGCTTTACTTCTGCGGAGGGTTTGTAAAGTTTCAAATTCTAACCAACGAGCCCATTGCCCGAGCCAATATCATTTTGACTAATTGAACACACATGTATGCATCATGATGGATTAGTTTTGGAGCAAGCTCAAGGGATCTCACGTGCAGTGGTACATGGACAAAGGTCGTGCGTGGATCTTAAGCGGCTTGCAGGAGTGAGGTGTTCCGGGTTCTATTGAGTTGGGTACATGTACAGGTGAAGTGGCTTTGATTACGTAGTTCATCTGACTCTTTGTGGTCCTATCAAGAGAAGGGCTGACAAAAGTGGTACCTACCGAACCACCTTTGACGCCTAAGTTAATGATGAAATAGGTAAACCAAATAGTAAAATAAGTGTGTGTGGAAATGATTATATTGACTTTACATCCAACATTCTCTCTTTTCCTAATAGTACTTACTCTTTTTCCCTTCATTAATGGTTAGAACTTATAGATTAATTTGAGTGAGAAGGTGGTTTAAGTAGTCATGATTACTGATAGGAATGCAAGTTGAGCGTTGTTTAAATGATGTTTGATAGCACTCAAATGCTCCTCTGCACCAAAAATATGTCAGTGATTCATTAGAAGGTGTTAGGTAGTGTCTCAGGTGGTAGTTTCTTGGGAAATAGTGCCCCTTCCTCGACTCATGTTTTACCTTGTGTTTCGAGTTCCTAATGTCCCTTCATGTGATAGGAAGATGGCGCTATCAAGTGTTGTTTTTTCAGATGACAGTTGTTGGGTTACCTTGCTGCCGCATGTTGGGACTTTTCGACTGCCTCTATAGGGTTGGTTCCCTTATGTTGGATCAAAATGATTATGGTCATTCTTTCTCAATATATTTACAGATTCGTTCTTAGTCCCTTTTTCTTTTTCTTTTTTTAAGAGGTTCTATCTAGGAGGAATATCTTTCCCATTGTCAACTTGTCCCTAATGCTTGGAAGACTCTTACGGATCTCATGGCACTCTGACATCTTAGTAGTAAGAGTCGCTATTGTATTTCCTTGGAGGAGTTTGTGTAGTGTTTTGAGGTAAAAGAGTGTAGTTAGAAGGGTTAATTTTACCTTAGCACCCACAACGGGGTGGCTAAACTTGTCTTGGGGCGTTTGTTTTCTTGGAACCGCGAAGACCAATCTCAATGACAAGTTGTTCAAGCATGTGGAGCAACCTGAGAAGTACTCTTCTAACAATTTTTGGATCCTAATAGTGGAGGTTAAAAGCAAGTCCTTTCTCTTTTTTGGGTTTGTTAAATTTTTTGATTTCGGGATCACTAGCATGTCTCACTCTATCGTTTTGCAGAATCATCTGGTCTCCCATTAGACAAAAAGGCTATGGCCATTTTGAAGGCCAAGTCAATGCTTAGGAATGGCAACCTGCCAGCCCCAAAAAAGTTTAAGCTCTTGAAAGGGTGGTCCATATCTATTCCTGCCAGCGTTTCTTCGAAGTAGTCTTAAGCTAATGCATCGTCTACTGAGGTTGCCCCTCAAGTGGAAGGACAAATGATCCCGATGCCTATTGTGGACCTTTTGTAGAATACTAGTGGGACATTTCTTCTTCCACTAGCTCAGGTGTTCCCCCAAATCATAAGACTTCTTTCAAGATGTGGGTCACTCTTTCTATAGCCCTTGGGCAGTCTTCGGTGGCCAGTGTGCAGGGCAAGGTCAGCAAGGAAATGGTGAAAAAACTTCATAAGTTGGGCTAGATCGAGATTCAGGATTGCGCTTGTGAGAAGATGAGCAAGGTTTAGCATTCTCCCCCTTTTCGTTTTCATTGTTCATATTTCTTTCTAGGTGTAACTCCTTTTTTTTGCAGCTTGTCGAGCTTCTTTCACCCCTTTATGTTGGAGATCATGCAGTTGTGAACTTAGTGACCAGGCTCCTCTAGTTCAAGGCTTGTTTGAAGGAGGACTTGGACAAGAAAGAGGTCTTCCTTAAGCAAGCCATTAAGGAGAGGGATGTTTTTGCAAAGAAGACGGCCAATGCTGAGGCTTGAGCTGCTAAATTGGTTGAGTCCTTGCTAGCGAAGATGGAGCATGCTGCAAAGCTGGAGAGGAAGGTTTTCGAGCTTATTCAGGTCTTGGAGGGGAAAAAGAAGGACATTGCTACTTGTAAGAAGGTGGAGATGAAAAACTTTTAGGACTCTAAAGATTATTAGTAATTGATCGATGGGTATTACCTAGCAAGGTAGAAGCATTTTGGCCCAAGCCAAAGACCAAATTTCTTGACCTTGATTTTAGCTCGCTCCAACTTACCTCTGCTGGTGAAGAGGGGAAGGATGAGGGGCTCTATAAGGGAAAAGAGTAAAGTTCTTTTTGTGAAAAATTTGTAAAAACTCGTACTTATATGTTGTTTTTATTATGTTTATGTTTATGGAGCTACTTTATCAATTTATGATATGATTTATGCTCTATTCTCCTGAAAAGAAGGCAAATTTTTCTTAGGGTAATCACGATTTGGCAAGCTTTTCCTTAGAAAAATTAATAAGCATGGGGCTCAGATGTGAGCTTTGCCCTCTTGTGATTAGGTAGATTTGACTTAAGAAAATTAATACGCATGGGTCGGTTCGTGAACCTTGCGCCTGTGTTCACAGGAAGATTTACCTTAGAAACATTAATGCGCATTGGGGTTGGCTCGTAAGCCTTGCCCCATTGTGACAAAGTTGATTTGCCTTAGAAAAATTGGCCTTTGGAAGGGCATCCTTGACCCATGGTAGATAAAATTTTCCTTTGAAAGAATTTATATGTTTAGGAGATCAACTTGTGAGCCCTAGCAGCCGTGTATGTTGGATTTCTCTGGGAAATAGTCCTCGATGGGTTGGGAAAGTGTGGACCTTGTCAGTCTCCCTAAATCCCTCTCTTCATGGGGAGTGGTCCTCGGTGGGTGGGGAAAGCAGGGACCTTATCGGTCTCCCAAAATCCCTCTCTCCTTGGGGAATTTCGCTCTTTTTTCTTTTTGAGTTGTTCTGACTGATACTGTAATATGAAAGTTTATATTTATATTCAAGTTCTCAAAGTGCACTTTTTCGGACATCATTCCCATTCTACCCTATGGGTCATACTTTTTGAGGTGCTCTATATTCCACAGGTGTGGCAACTAATTCCCTTTGGATGTCTAAAGTTGGTATGTTCCTGGTCGGATTACCTCTATGACCACATACAAGCCTTCCTAATTTGGGACTAGTTTTTCCTTTTCTGTCTTGGGAGAATCTTTCTTCAATGCAGGGTCTTCTACTTACAAGCTTCATTCCCTAGCTTAGTTATTATAGTAGTGGGTGGTTTATTGTTGGTAAGAAGCAACTCAGAGGGTGGCTTGGTCTCTAACTTGTTCGAGGGAGTCAAGGTTTGCCCTGAGCTCCCTCTCTTTGTCTTCGGGGGTTAAAGTGTAGGGTGGAATGTGAGGGTAGCACAACTTCTGTGGGGATCATGCTTCAGTTCCGAAGGCCAACATGAAGGGCGTTCTCCTGTAGCTTTTTGTGGGGTAGTTCGATAAGCCTAAAATACTTCTAGGAAACCCTTCACCCATAAGCTTTTCTATTCCTCAAGCTTGGTTTTGATATTCGGCAGTAAGGTGCGATTCATGACTTTGACCTACCTGTTTGTTTGTGAGTGTGTAGAGGATAAAATAAAATTCTTAATGTTGAGGAGTGAGCAAAACTCATGCAAGCCCTCGAATTGAGTTGATTATCATTGTTGGAGATGATGGCATGTAGTACCCCAAACCGATAGACTATGGACTTCCACACAAAGTCTACGATTCTTTTCTCTATAATGGTGGCTAAGACCTCGACCTTAGTCCACTTGGTAAAGTAATCAATGACTATTATAGAAAAGTGGCACTGATTCTTTTCCCGAGGTAGAGGTCCTACTATGTTGATGTCTTTGTTGAAAAGTCAAGGAGAAATAGAATGGCCCATCAAACAATAACTACAAATTTAATTTGAATTTGAAATGAATGGGATATTTCCTGCCCAAAATAAATTGGCATTTCTTGAAGGCCATTTGAGAGGCTTTCTATTTTGGAGAAGGAAAACTCTATCAAAAAAGGATTAGAAATGTATCAAAGAAGAATTGGGTTCAGGTAGAAGAAGACAAGTGATTAACCATCAAAATTACTATTTTATTATATTTAATTATTGGTTAATTGCATATTATTTGTGATTAAATGTGTTAAATTCCTTCATTTTCTAGTTTGATACTTTTTCTATTTGTTTGGTTTATTTTGCTGGTAAATTAGTTGATTTAAAGTAATAATGGATAATGTAAGTGAATCAATCACTAGAGAAAAAATCACAATTGATAAGGATTGAAGAGTCAATATTGAGATAGAAAGACTTGAAAATATGATAGCAATTTAATCCTTATAAGAGTTCAAGTTGAAAGAAAACTCATGTAGAGTTGGATTAGGAAAATATCCTAGAAGATAAGGAGTTGTCACGTTTTCAGTGTTTTGGTCATAACTTTTGACTCTGATATCTGATTTACTTTATTTTTGGGAATTGGAAAAAAGACTTCAGGGGTTACAAAAGTGTATATCACGAAATTTTCATGATTCAACCTCTAAATATGCAAAATTTAAGTTTGAAGTCTAGACAGATTTTGTACTTGTGCCTCAAAGATTTTATGTATGAGATTTAACCTTACAAGACTTCTTTTTGGAAAGGAATTCCTTCCAAGTCAACCTTATATCTTCTACCTATACTTAAAATTTATTTTTAGTATAAATAAGGGTTCTCATTTAGAGAGAATTATTATTTTTTCCTTCTTTTTATTTTGATTTTAGTTCGTTATGTCTGACTAAAAGGCTTAGCTAGGGCTAGGGGAGAACCTCTCAATGAAGTACGGTAATGTTATTGACTTTTGAGCTTAATGATATGTGATGTTTTGTTAATTCAACTTTTGATTTCTTAACAAAATTTTTGCCTTGTAAAAATTTTTGAGTCATTGTGGTATGTACATTGATTGCTTGAATTTTCCTGTGAATAAATAACTGTTTATTCCATGCTTAAGTTGATTATAATTATTTCACATAATAATATAATTAGATGATTATTCAAGTTCCTAAATAATCCTTTAATTATAAATTGTGATTTTAAAAATTAATTATATGACTTGAATCAACCAACATTTGATTCTTGTCTAAGGATAAGAATTAAGCCTTTAATCATTATTGTATGGAATTGAGAGGGAGTACCTGATGCTCTAGTATTTTTATTTTACTGTTTTAATTTCTTAAATCAATATTCTCAACTCAACAATCTTTTACACAAATTGTCTTCACAAGTTTGTTATAATATTTGTGTGATTGCTGCTATTTTACAATTCCCTAAGGGTTCGACCTCGGTCTTTCGAGAAATATATTACTTCGCTCAGCTCGCGCTTAGGTTTACATAATTAAAGTTGTAGCAACAAGAAATGATGAAGGCAATGGATCTGTTAAGAGATATAAGTAAAACAACTATATAGGAAGCTCAAGCGTTGGTATTGTGTATCTTGCTCGTCGAAAACTTCATGAATACCAATTGCATACTGCCCGTCAAATGATATGTTTAGACAGAATTGTGGTGTCAGCCACATGGATTATATATCTGGTGACCCATCATGCAAATGGTACGCCGTTAGAGTGATTGCGCTTTAGAAAATAAAGGCTCTAAGCTTTGCTCCTTCGACTGATAGTTTGCATCGGATCTTAGGTTCTCTATTGCACTCCCTAAATAGGGTTCTTTTCACCTTTCCTTCACGGTGCTTGTACGCTATTGATCATTGAGGAATACTTAAGCTTAGAGGGTGGTCCCCCTTTCTCGCGTAAAAGCGATTAGAATTCAAACATGCCGCGTTTTACTGGGAAGGATCGAACTATAGGAACTAAGATGGATTATATATCTGCTGGTGTTAGTCAAAATTAAAGTTTTGGCAATTCCTACTACTTGAAGAACATTCGAACAAAGGCAAATTATGGCCGAAGAAGATGTCGACGAATAAAGTCATATGGGTGCTTACATGGATACTGGTTTATATGCGACCACTAGGACAACTCCACCACCCTTTAACAAATATTTGAAGTAAATAATAATGAACCTCGTACAAAATTAATTATAGTATCCTAATTAGCGAGGTTTATATGCATTGTTGAAGAGTCCTTTTAGATAAAAAAATGGAGAGAGTGATCCAGAAGTATGAGTCTAGAGGTGCCTGTGGACATATTTCATAAACTTAAGTTACTAACTAGTATAGGGATGCTACAACTTGGTTGTATCTGAACATGAGTGTAAACACAATTCTTGTTGTCATGCACGTAGTTTACACAAAACCCAAATAAACTTGACATGTAATGTGCGGATTAATTTTTGCACTTGAGATGAATTACAAAATTGTTATAAAGCATTTGGTTGATGTTTTGATGTTTACAATGGATGATGGTTTGATGAACAATGGACACACACTTAGGAACCTAATCCCCTTGTAGGAATAGATTAATAATAACTGTATTAAAAGGATAACAACTTACAAATGATATTTATCAACTAAAATATGCGACAAAATATAAAAGAGTAATATGAATAAGTTGTATATGATGTTTTATTAAAAAACTAAAATAATAATGAACAATAATATAACATTCTTTGAAACAAATCGTCTGTGCTAGCAACACTGTTATCAATAACAAGCAGTTAATTCATGCAATTAATGTGGCCAACAAGGTTCATTATATCAGAGACTTGCGCTACCCGTTGAAAATTCATGAGGTCACCCCTCAAGTGGAAGGACAAATGACCTCGATCTCATTTGTGGACCTTTCATAGAAGACTAGTGGGAAACTTCTTCTTTCGTTGCCTCAAGTGTCCCACACCGTTGGAAGACTTCTATCAAGATACGAGTCATGCTTCCTATAACCCTTGAGGAGTCTACAGTGGCCTGGGTGCAGAGTAAGGTCACCAAGGAAGCAGTGGCAAAAATTCAAGTGTTGGATTTGATAGAGATTGAAGCTCGGGCTTGCAAAATGATTAGTGAGGTTTAGCACTCTCTCACATTTCCTGATATTTGTTCATATTTCTCTCCCTAGTATTACTCCCTCTCTTTTTGTAGCTTCTCAAGCTTCTTTAATCCCTTTATCACAAAGATCATGCGGCCATGAACTTAGTGGCCAAGTCCCTCCAACCGAGGCTTACTTGAAGGAGGACATGGACAAGAAAAAGGCCTTCCTTAAGCAAACCATTAAGGAAAGGGATGATTTTATAAAGAATACGGTTGATGCTGAGGCCCGACCTTCTAATTAGTTGAGTTGCTCCTGATGGAGATGGGGCATGTTTTAGAGCTAGAGGGGAAGGTCTCCAAGCTTACTCAGAATTTGGAGGGGAAAGAAAAGGATGTCGCAGCTCGTGAGAAGGTGACGGTGAAAAATTTCCAGGAATCCGACAATTATCAGGAATTGATTGGTGGGTATTACCTGGCAGGTTATAAAGCTTATAGGGCCGAGACACTGATGAAATTTCTCAACGTTGATTTTAGCCTTCTCCAACTTTCTTCTAGTGGTGAAAAGGGGGAAGGATGAGGGGCTCGATAAGCGAAATGAGTAAGGTACTTCCTTTGTAAAAATTTGTAAAAAACTCCTATTTTTATGTTGTTTTTGTTATGTTTGTTATGTCTATGTTTGCGGTACTACTTTGTCAATTATTATCTAATTATGCTCTATTCCCTTGGAAAAAAGACAAGTTTTCCTTTGGGTAATCATGGTCTAGCAAACTTTGCCTCGATCTCCCCGAATCCCTCTCTCCCTTTGGGAACGTTTCTTTTCTTTTTTCTTAATAAGTCATTCTGACTGCTTCTGCAATATGAGAGCTTATATTTATATCCAAGTTTTCAAAGTACACTTTTTTGAACACCATTCTCATTTGTACCCTAGGGTTAATGCTTTTTGAGGTGCTCTATATTCCATCATTGTGGTAACTCCTTCCCTTGGGATGTTTGAAGTTAGTACATTCATGGCTAGACTTGCTAGGTGGCCACGTATGGGTTTTCCCAATTTGGGGCTTGTTTTCCTTTCTCTTTCCCAACAAAATCTTTCTTCAACATAAGGTCTCCTGCTTGCAAGCTTCGCTTCCTAACCCACTTGTTATAGTAGCAAGCAATTTTTTGTTGGTAAGAGGTGACTTGGAGGGCAGCTTTGTCTCTGACTTCTTCGAGGTAGTCAAGGATTTCCTTGAGCTCCCTCTAATTTTTCTCAGGGTCAAAGTGCAGGGTACGATGTGAAGGTAGCTGACCTCTATGGGGATCATGGCTTCATGAAAGGCATTTTGTTAGTAGACTTTTGTGTGGTGGTTTGATAATCCCAAAGTACTTCTAGAAATTGCTCGACCAACAAGTTTTTCCTTTTCACTAGCTTGATTTGATATTCTTCAATAAGGTGCGATTCGTGATTTCGGCTTGCACGTTTGTTTGCAGGTGTGTAAGGGACAAGAGAAAATTCTTGATGTCGAGGTATGAGGAGAACTCAAGAAAGCCCCCTGAATCGAAATGTTTCATGTTCTTGGAGACTATGGCTTGTGGTACCTTGAATAAGAAGACTTTGGACTTCCACACAAAATCTATGATTCTATTCTATGTAATGATGGCTAAGGCCTTGGCCTCAGTCCACTTGATAAGGTAATTGATGACTATTATAGCAAAGCGTCACTAATTGTTTCCCCGAGGTAGAGGTCATACTATGTTGATATCTTATTAGGCGAAGGGCCATGAGCTACTTGACTGAGCTGAGCTCTTGGAAAGCGTTATGCTTAATGTTGGCGAAACTTTGACATTTATCACAAATTTTTGCAAGGTTTTAGGCTTCATTGCTCATGGTGGGCTTATAATATCCTTATCGTAAAGCCTCGTGGGAGAGTGTTTATCCTCTGGAATGATCTCGCAAATGCCCTCATGAATCCCTCTCAATATGTATCTCATTTCTTTAGGTCGGACACATCAGAGGAAAGGCAATGGTAGAATCCTTTGATAAAGGATACCATTGATGAGGAATTATTTTGCCAATCTGGGGGAAGGTCTCCTTTCTAGAGGTAGGAGTTGTAAGCATCCATCTAGGTGGAGCATGTGGTGGCCTAGAATACTTCAAGTGGGTCCCCTATGATACTTCAAGGGGGATATGCCACTCCTTATTTCTTACCCTTGATGAAGCCAGGCATGTTAGGGAGTCAGCGTGTCTATTATCATCCCGGGAGATTTACTCGATCGAGAAGGCAGCAACATTATAGACTATGCGAGATCAACACCCATTTTATTGTCTTTGGCTTCATACACCATTTCATTTGGTGGACTTTGAGCTGTTAGTCATTATATACCCAAATTTGTTGGACATCAAGGTAATGGGCTAGTCAAAGCTCAACTAGGAGGGCCTCATACTTGACCTTGTTGTTAGAGGCCTTAAAGCCGAACTTGATGGTGTGTTCAACTTTCACAAATTATGGGGAGATAAGGATTAATCCTCCTCCACTGCAGTGCTTAGTCAAGGAGCCATTGATGAACAAGGATCCATCGAGGAATGGCGTTATCTTTGGTGTTTTCTTTATTCAGATATGCCCATGTCTCGTCTTTACTTTCACAGGCTAGTTCTGCAACAAATTTAGTCGTTGTCTGTCTTTTGATCAACCTCCGGGGTTGGTACTCAATACTAAATTTGCCAAACACAACCGACCATTTCATGAGACGCCCCGTTGTCTCTGGTTTGTGCAGTATCTATCGAGAGGCTACTCGTTTAACACGATTATCCGATGTGCTTGAAAGTATGGTCTCAGTTTTTAGTAGCAACTATTAAGGAATTGGCGAGTTGTTCCATCTTTGGGTATCATTCCTTGACTCCTTAAAAGGCTCAACAATTGTAGTATTTTGGTTTTTGAACGTCTCTTTCTTCCTGGACGACTATGGATAAGAGGGTAGTGACCCTAGGTATTTCTTTAGTTGGAGCAAGGCTTCTTCACACTCCTACATCCACTCGAAGCTATTTCTTAGGATTTTAAAGAAGGGAAGACATTTATTAGTAGGTCGAGAGATAAACCTATTGAGCTTGGCAACCCAACCCTTGAGCTACTATCCATTTGTAGAACATGGAGACCTCATTTTGACCAGGGGAGCAATTTTCTCTAGGTTGGGTGCAATTCCTTGCTCGGTGACAATGAACCCAAGGAATTTCCCGAAGGTCACTTCAAAGGTACACTTTGTAGAGTTTAGCTTAATTTTATATTTTTCACAAGAACCCATCTCTTTAAGGTGTTGAATGTGGAGATCAGCTTTGAGACTCTTTACTAGCATGTCATCCATATAAAAACTCTATAGTTTTTCTGATCTTATTCTCAAACATCCGATTCACCAACTGTTGGTAGGTGGATCCTACGTTTTTTAGCCCAATGGGCATTTTTATAGCAGAAAGTTCCCAAATAGGTCATGAATGATATTTTCTCTTGGTTTGAGGGGTCCATTAAGTTTTTATTGTACTTAGGAGCTCATGACCAACTATTGCATCTATTATTGTACACGTGCATTGTACGTGAATTGCATTGAGCTATAGTTAAGCAATATAGATGTAAAACCAAAATGCTTACATCAATCAATAAGATGACCTATTCATCCCATGATCTTAAATAAACCAATCAATTACCTAATATGAGTATAATATTATAAATTATCTCTATAGAATATGATTGTGTTTATAATAGTATTACGAATATAAAATTTTTCAATAAAATGCTTTTGTCTTTAATTGATTAGGTTTGATAATGCTACTGGTTTGCCAATCCGTGTTTAACACAAAGTTCCCAAGATCATCTTAAGAAACCAAAGCAAAACATAAACAGTGAGTCAAAAGAAATTCCAAAAACCTAGTGCAAAGTAATTGTCAGAGCAATAAGGAGAAAAGCAAAATTTCAAAAGAGTTTTTTTTTTTTTTAAATCTTTTCTTTGATATTGTAAGGTGAAATTATTGGGCAGCATGCAATGTCTTAGACTTTCCACTTCCAAATCACATTAAAACATTTGTAAGAACCATCCTAGGGCAAATAGTTACAAGGAACATCCTTTTATCAAAGTAAAACATTGTAACATCCGTCTATGGGAACTGATCACAATAGTGGCATTGACAATGTCTTCATTCAAAACATTAGTAACATAACATAATATTTGTAAGAAAAATATTGATGCAATCAATTTATCAAGTCATTATCAAGTGTTCAATCCAGCAATGATTAAGTAAGTTTCTTTAATCAGAGGAAAGTAGCGCTATAAGCCAATAGGTTGAAATTAGTCCTAACTCTCAGCAATGTACAAGTCATAATGAATTGATATTTATGTCATGTGATGGTGCAGACTAACATGGGTGAACAGAGTGCGTGGGACCACAGGTGAATCTAGGCTGTCAACTTCATAATGACAATGATGAAGTGTTTCTTAGGGGGTAGGAGAATTTGAACAATAGGAATATAGTGGTTCACCGGCTCTGGAGCTCGGCTAATCCACTCTCTAATGGAGATTCTTGCTCCTTTTTTCTCTATTGATTACTCCAATGTATTACCGTACAATGCATGATCTAATTAGGGTTTTTCTAGGGTCCTCCTCTCTCGATGAGACGTTACATAGTATTTATAAGGTTGCTCCATATTCTGTGGGATTTCAGCCGAGATCTTTGCCAATTATTCATGAGATCCTCCTTGATTTTAGGAGAGAATCTTGATTGGTTGAGAGTTTTATGCATTGGGCTCAATTTCCGCAGTCATCTAGCTGTTTCCTGGTTGGTTCTACTACGATCTCCCCAAGGGGAGCTCTACCCCTGGTTCTCTGAGTTCTTCGTGTCTTTCCTGACCTCCTGACCTGACCTCCTTTCCTGAGCTCACAGCTAGGGCTTATTTGAGGTATCATCAGTTGCCCCCCAGCCCCTAGTTCAAGTAGGCTTGGGCAAGGGTTGAGATGTTTTTTTAAACCAAGCTGGATCTGCACATAGCTGACCTTGGCTTGAACGTGAGTGAGGCCTTTTTGACGATTTTCAGCAATCATGGCTTCCTCGTTTCCCACGCATGTTCCAGCTCACGTCTCTCAAGCTTTAAATGCTCAAATGGCTATTTGAATCTCCCTTTTCCACTGTTCAACTTATCTGCTGCTTCTCTCTTCTTGTGATTTCCTGGCTTTTTGGTTTGGAGTTATCTGATTCCTCATTCAAGATCGAGTTTTGTGGGTTCGATTTGAAGATTCGCATTGCCCCTTTCTTCCATTTCACTCTAGGCTGCTATTCATTGCTCTTTCCTAACTAGGTACACCCTTTTGTCCCTTTTTCACCTTTTCTCGTTCTGGATCCCTCGAATTCGAGGTGGCCATTGCATTTCTGGGCTTTTTGGTTCTTTTACTTTTGGAATCAAAACTACTGCTTGTCTCTTCTTCCCCACTTCGTGGACTGGTCTTCTATCATACGAATCCTTGTTGTTGGAAGCTACTGCGTTAACCCTAGGGTTATCAAGGATTGCTTAATTAGTATTCCTCCTCTCTACCGTTCTTT